CAGAGAGACAAAAAGCAAGAAATCACCCCCCAGGGGGGTGGCCATGCAGCAATCCCTTCTCCTCCATTCTCCTCCTGGGATCGCACACACACACACACACACACACACACACACACACGCCTGGCATGAGTTTAAGCCACTGGGTCCAAGACTTGAATCACGGTCGACTACATGGGAGTCCAGCAACATAGCCATTACACCAACTGCTGGTCCTCGGGGCTGCCCTTTGAGGAAAGTAGTAGGGCTCAGGAGACTGCTCAGGAGACAGAGGGCTTCCAGGCCTAGGGTTGACAGCTCCCACGCTTAGGATGGAGAGGTACAGGCCAAGAAGGCGGGCAGGGGAGTAGACCTAACACTGGGCCTTGGCACCTGCGAGTTGGTCCTTTTTAGTGACTAACACCCTCAAATTTCTGAAGAATGTTCTGGACCAGGCTCAAAAGCTGGCAGCTGGGGGTCAGCAGATGGTATAATGGTTATGTCGCTGGACTCCCAGGTAGTCCACTGCAGCTCGGTCCTGGGCCCAGCAGCTTGAAACACGTTGGAGACCGTGTGTATGTGTGCCCCAAATCCTGAGGGACTGCAGATGGCCATCCCTGGGGGGTTGGGGGGGAGGAGGATTTCTCGCTTTCTGTCTCTGTCTCTCTGGCAGGCACATGTGTCTTATAGCAAAAACCTCTCAAAAAAAAAAAAAAAAAAAGAGCTGGTGGCTTAACTCTAGTGCAGGCCCTGCTCCCCTTTCATCCAGACCCTGTACCCTGCTGTAGTTGAGTAGGGCTGTGACACTCCAGAGGAGGTGCAACTAAACACAGAGGCAGAATTCTGGTCAAATTAAAATAAATAAATAAATAAAGTTAAATAAAAATAATTATTTTTAAAACAAAAAGAGGGGGTAGATAGAGGCCCTAGGTATACGCCCCCTAGAGGCCTCCACAGTTTTCGCCTTTTTCCAACAACACAGCAAGGATCACTTTGTCGTCCAGACCAGTCCCCTCCAATTGTCTGTCCCTTCACCTGGTCCATGGAGAATACCGAATGAGAATTAAGAAACAATTTGTGTGCCAGGCCCAAGCCACCTATCTCCCCCATCCCGGCCCATTATCACATGGGCGTGTAACACGCACAGATCCACATGGGCACAGAAACCTGCTACATGGATCTGTAATATCCAAGCCAGACCTAGTGACCGGTGCAGAGGTCCTGCTCCGTGCCCCCAGCTCCCTGATGGCGCACAAGTTCGTGTCCCAGACCCTGCCCTCCTTCTCCTGCACCACGAGCACATTGCATAGGCCTTTGCACCTTCTAACCTCATTCTCCTCCCACCCAGACTCACTCTTAGGCATTCCTCAGTCTGATCTGCCTGTCACCTCTTCCAGGAAGCCCACTGTGCTTGCCGCTTCCCCTGCACCTGCTACCTGCAGGAGCAGCGGTCTCTACTCATTCCCACATCTGCAGCGCTCAGCACGCTAGCTGACCCTTTGCGGGTGGTGGAGCGCCGGCTGAAGAAGGAGTGGATCAAGGACAGGAGGGAGGAGGGAGAGGAGGCGGCAGCTGGAGCAGCGTGGGGCGGAGGCGGTAGCGGGAGGGAGCGCGCGCGCCG